AGCAGACTTTCTTTCCCCAGCTACATGCAGACACCTAGGACTAGAGGGGAGGCAGAGATTCCCTAATCTTAACCAGGCTCATGCCTTTCAGCATGGAGCAGGCAGCAGTGCCACCAGTGAGGGTCAAGAGGAGCTCTCTCAGGAGGGCTGGGGGCCTTCCTTGCCCTCCCACCCACCAAGATGTGATGGATGTTACTGTGGGAAGATGTGATTATCACCTTTGAAAATTGGCTGCCAAACAATGACCAAACAGGGAAACAAGCTGGGTTTCTTCAGAGTGGCACCAGTGGTATTAAAGTTTCAGAACAGGCAAAAAAAAACCCACAAAAAAACAAACAAAAAAACCCAAACAAACAAACAAACCAAAAAAACCAAACAAAAAACCAAACCAAACCAAAACAAAAAAACCCCAACCTCCCAAAAAAACCCAAAACCTCCCAAACAAACTAAAAAAAGAAAATGCTTGCCTGCCATAGATGCCCACTTAAAGCAATGTTGGATCCCTCCACAGCCCTCTCTGGGGTCCTGAACAACATTTTTTCATTTTTAATTTTTCTCAGTACCCTATTTTCCTTTTCCTTTGTCTGACCCTGCAAGTGTCCCAGTTCCCCTGGGTGTGTCTCTGCCGTGTTTGGGCCAGCAGCTGGGCAGATGTTCTCTCTCTGCTCCCCTTGGTGTCACCCACACCAGTGGGTGCTCTGGGGGACACTGCCTGGGGCTGGGACACAGTGTCCAGGGGATTGGGAACAGGGAGAGGCAGGTGAGGCACAGCTCCTTTAGCTCCTTTATAAGATGTTTAACTTCCACCAGGAGAGGGAGAGTGGGAGCTGTTGGTCTCAGTTTGCTTCTCCTGGAGAGGAGCAGACTTTGCTCTCCAGAGGTTTCTCTTTGGAGCCTGTGTGTGAAAGGCAGCACCTTCCAGACTCAAAAGCAGCATTTTGCATTTTTTCAGTTATCTGCTTGTGAAATTTTCCCTTTGTTTCTTTTATGAGGCCGTTTTTACACAAACGGCAGAGCCCCATGCTCAGCACCTTACCCTGCCTCTCTTTATGAACAGCCTGGCCATAATTAGGTCATATAAAATCCACTATGTACAAATGCCACAGGCATCACCTTTCAGCCCATGCTGCTGTTGAATAAAGCAGCTCAATGCATTCCGAAGCTGAGAAATGTCCCCCTGGTCCAGGATGTCCATCCCATCCCAGACTGGTCCTGCAAGTGCAACAGGACACACTGTGTGGTGTCCCAGCTTCTTTTACAGCCCCTTTTTCCAGCACCTTCACTTTCTCATCCTTTTGTTAGGGGCTGCATCTCTCAAGGATGCATTTCTATCTTTGAATTTGTCTAATCTCCTTTTGAACCTGCAGATGCAGCATCCACAGCATCCAGCAAGTTCTCCAACTGTGCCTGTAGGTTTCTTTCTGTCTGCTTGACACTGACCTTCTCTAGCATTGTGTACCCCGGATTCTGGGGGTGTTTGGCTGCTGAGTCAGGGCTTTGGAAACCTTTAATGATGGCTGTGCACCTCAGTGAGCCTGCAGGGTGTGCCTGGGAATGCAGCTGGGTGCCACAGCCCCCACACCTGCACCATGGGATGTGCTGCTCCTTTGAGCCCCAGGATCAGGGCCTGGTCTCAGCCACTTTAACAAACACTTTTCCTGTTTGACCTCATCCCTCCTCTTACCTCAGTGAAAGTGATCTCACTTACCCTTCCTTTACTCCTGTTACCTCTTTACTCTGTGTTTTCCTTCTTCCAGTTGCTCCAGTTCCTCCAGCACTGCAGACTGGCAGGCGTGGGGAGCTCCCCAACAGCTTCAGCTGTGAAAGCAGCCACAAAGTTACCACTGGCTTTCTCTGCTTCATCACCATTCTCCCCATCTGCCCTTCTATACCCTTGCAGTCAGCATTCCCCCTGATTTCCTAGCTGCCTTTGTGGCTTTGGTGTATTTAAAGAGCCTTAAAGAGCAGCTAGAGCATCCTTGGCAAGGCAATGTACAGTTCTTATTTTTAGCCCTGTTTCTTTCCTGTTTGTGACCTGACATGTTTTATGGGTTTCTTTGTTCTTAGACCACTTTGGGCTTTTAGAGTTGGGTTTGGGGATTTTTTTTCTGACAAGTTGCTATAAAAATCAATGTTTTCAGCCCACACCCCAAAACCTGGGAGAGGTCAATTTAATGCTGCTGAGAACCCTTAGTAAGCAAAGCTGCTCCATATTCCCCCCACCAACACAAGACACATGGCATTGAAACAGAGAGCATTACTGGGCTAAAGCGAAAAGGCTGAAGGATGGGAAATTTGGATAAAATTGCAATTGATGACTTTGCAGCTGCCAAACTTGACAAATGACAGTCCTCCTCTCACAGGAGTGACAGAGGAGCAGGGCTAGGCTGGCCTTGCTGTAGATTGTGGGTCACTGAACCACAAACTACCAGCAGGATCCTCTGTCTCTGGGTTGTACCAAGGTCCAGTCACCTTCCTGAGCCTGGGATGAAGTTAAGGTGAAGTTAAGTCTCCCCTAAACCAGGAGCAGTCATGTTCACCAGGACACCTGCCTGAATCCCTCCAACCCTTACCTGAGTTTCCCCGCTCTCCACACCAGGAGTTTCTGTCGGGAAGCCAAGGAGATGAAAACCTCTTGCCAGAGGAGAGGCTCCTTTTCCCTTCCCCCTGTCCCTCCTGTTGGAAGGAACTCTGTCATTCACCTTGAAAACAGCCAGCCATCAAAATCAAGGTACACAAGAAGTGAAAAGTCAAGCCCAGGTTCTTACCCCACTGCCACCCACAGCACCCACCATGCCCTCCCCTCCCACCCCACATTGCTGGAATATGCTTGGGTATATCTATCTAAATAAATGTAGAATGGCATATGGCTGAAGCTATCCCAAAATTCCCAAGCAAGTCTGTGTTGTAAGCAGGCAAACCTCTGTCCCAGCTCCTTTAGCACACCCTGTGCACACATGCCAAGCTGTTACACTCTCCAGAGTGACTTCTGGTCTAGGATAAAAGCTGGTGGCAGATTTGAGTGGCAGCCTCTTTCCACCTCATCTTTGGGTCCTGTGCCTGCAGGACACTCCACTTCTCAAGGACACACTGCACCTCAAGGGAGAAAAGGGATGGGAGAACCCAGGGTGCAAAATGAGCTGTGGCATCTTCCTGGAGCCTCTCAGCCTGCCTGCAGGCATGTCCACACACACACTGACACTGAGGACCCAACTCAGCTCCTTTCCTCTGCCTACTTGGATTTTGAAGGATGTGCAGCTGAAACAAAGCATGAGTCAAGAGGCAGCAGTCATAAAACTCAACAAAGAGCTATTTTGCATGATGACATTTCCCAGAATAGTCACATATTGCTAATAGACAAACAGAAGTGAAATATCTGGGAGTTTGCCCTTTCGGTACAGATTTCCAGTCCAGATAAAGAACTGTAACAGCCTTTGAAATGCTAAAAAGGAGCAGGCTCCTGGTATCTGATTGCCCCTCCCCATGAAATGGGCTAAATGACAACTGGTAGCAGTTGCAGAAATTAGCTTTGAATTAGAGCAATGAAAATTCCTCTGCAGTTAAATGATGCAAACACCTGACAGGATTTGCTGGTTTTATTACCAGTGATAGCACATGTCGGGATATCACACCCTCAATAAAGTTTTACTGCACGAAAGTTTCTAGTTCAGCATTCAGCTGCATTTCCAGCCTCTGTTGCTTTGCAAAAGAATAGGAGATAACACTTGGCCAGATTCTGCCTTTATCCCATCCATTTTCCAGCGTCTCACCACATGCAAACTTCCCCAGAGTGGAGTCTGCATGGGGTTAACAGTGCTGCAGACACCAGAACCTTTTCCTGCTGCTGAAAAGTCAGAGAAAAGGGAGGGAAGAAAAGGACTGAGCAGAAGGATTAGAAGCTGGGGGCATCTCCTTCACCCAGGTTATTGTGGAGACATGCAGGGCTCAAAGAAAAAGGGGCAGCAGGCATGGGAGGCACACATTAAATTGTTGGGGGAGGGAGCTGGTCCAGCTTTTCTAGCCAGAGGAAAAATGGGTGTCTCTGACTCTTGTGATAAGTGTGGCCACCTTACCTTGCTTTGCTCCTCAGGACAGTACTCTCAGAGGAAAAGTCAAGAAGATAAGAGCAAATCCCTCCCCATCCCATGAGCAAGGTGTCATGAGCAGTTAAACCCAGCTGAGCATGCAGAGAGGCACACAGATGGTGGGCTTGGCTGAGGGCACCAGAACCTGCTCTCCTACAGACCCTGCCCATGGCAGACACTGTGCAGCCAGGTGACAGCAGCAAAGGGGACAGGAGTGAACTGGGAGAAACAGCGAAACCTCAGGAAAACAACAGAAAATGGCACCTTTTCTCACCAGGCTGAGAAACAGGGCCTGCCTCCTTTTGCTACAGAAGCCACATGGGAAAGATCAGAACTGTTTAGGCCACAGCTTTCCATCACTCAGCTGCCAAGTGGGAGCTGGTTTTGATCATGGAGAGACTGGAAACAAGGATCTGCATGGAATCCTGGTAATCTCTGCAGCCACATACAGTGTTCTCTGCCACTGACCCCCAAACTTGTCATTTAAGCTGAAAGACACTTCTTCTCATCTGGGCCACTAACAGCTGCCATCAGACACAGCAGCTTGTCCAGCATTTCAAAGGAGACCCAGCTGCAGTAACTCCACAGTTCCCACCAAAAAAACTCACTGGATATTGGTGCCAGTCTCACAACAATAATACTTTAATACTTAATAACATTAATGTTATTAATACTTAATGTCATAATACTTAATAAAAAGTCATAATGACTTGATGTCATTAATACTTAATAACATTTCTGAACTTCTGAGTGAAACCTGGGTGCTGAAACTAGTCTGTGCACACTTGTGTCTAAGTTCTATATAAATTTTAACATAAAATAGTCTCTTGAGTTTTAAAAGCACTTAAATCACTGGGAGGAACATAAGAAAGCCCTGGTACTGAGAAAAAATAATGTTTAATAGGAAAAGTTAATCTGCATATATAAAGACCAAAACACAAAATACAACAGAATTAAATTATCATATAAATGATTGTAATCTATAAATATATGTACATATGTGTGCAAAGAAGTATTTTATATAAATATAATGTTAATGCTAGTCAACAGATAATGCACACTCAGTAAAACACAGTAAAATATGAATTCTTTTACAGACTGATTTATTGACTGTATGTAAGAAATTTTTTAAAAACCCAAACACCAAGCTTATTATCATTCAAACATAAAGACTGGAGAAGAAAGAAAAATGCTAACACTTTCCACAGGAGCTAAAAATGTAAAATCAATGCAGTTTTGCAAGATGAAGAAGAATAGTGTTTGTTTGGAGATATTGTATGTTGCCATTGTATTGGGAAGGAAGGCTATGGAAAAAGTCAGACAAGTGCCATTGTGTCACACAACCCATGTCAGCAGAGATCTGAACAGAATGCTTTCAGATGGGAAATATTGAGGGGTTGAGGAGAGTGAAAAACCCCTGTATCTAATACAGTAAATTGAAACAGGTCAGATTCTCATGAAAAACAGTTTTCATCTGCCCAAACTGTAGTTCAAATTAAGTGAGCACAAATCCAACCGAAGGTCTGGGAACTGATGTTCTTCAGCATCACACATATTGCCTGGGCCAGAAGAGCTTTCAGAAGAGCTTCCAGAAGAGCTGAAAACCAGCAGGGTTAAAATTCTGGTATCTTGTGTGCACTCACTCTCTTGCCAATGTACTGGCCTCATTGAAGAAGTCTAATGTTTATTGGAGCACATTAGTTCTTTTAAAAGAAGTCCTCTTCTTCTCCCTACTCCCTAACATTATTCCTTTATTTCAAAGTTATCCATGATCTCTTTCAAGCAGGAATCTTCCTCTAGAAAATCTTGAGAGAATCTGGGGTTAAGGTCCTTGTTGTCTCTTCTGCTGAAGCACTGCATTGGTGAGAGGTTGTGAAACTCTTTGCTCTGATCCAGGGCTGTGGTGCTCATCCATCCTTCTGCTGCTCTGGTCACTCAGTATCTGCCCTGTTTCCTAAAGCCTGTGGGCTCCCGTGATATTTCATACTACAGAGAATTTTCAGACAAGAAAAGAAGAGAAATAAGGACTCACAAAGGTCATCAAGTCTAACATTTGCATGAATGGCCCGTACAGGGTTTGATCCCACAACCTTGGTGTTATTAACCCAAACTGAGCTAATCTCAAGCCTCTGCTTCCTCTGTGGCTCCCTTGCAGAATTCAAGGATAAATCAGGCTTTTTTTTTTTTTTTTTTTTTTTTTGGAACATGCCTTCCACATAATGACACACCTCTGCTGACCAGGCTGCCCTGGGCCACAACAGTGCAAAAACTTCTGTATTATTCATGGCACTTCACACCTTTCCCCTCTGCAATGCTGCAGCAGCTGCAGGTGCTCTTGCTGTGAACCAGGCAGGAGGACACAACCCCCTGGGCATCAGTCCCAGCTTAAACTGACTGAATCTTGCATGAGGCTGCAGCTCGGAGGTGCCACTGCAGCACCTGCTGACTCTACAGCAGCCTAGAGGAAGCTCAGGTGGTAGCAGCCTGTGATGCTTGCAGCTGAGGGATGAGTTTGGCTGGTGCAAATATCCTATGACACAGCAGACCACTGGGCTGCCAAGCTCTTGCTTTGACCATTGCTTTTCACATATCCTTCCTGTGGCTCAAGGATGACTAGAAAGGTCTTCATGAGTGCTGATCTCTGCACTGAGGAAATTTCTGTATTAAGATTTTTTTTTCAGCTGCAGCTACATTGTTGGGTGCCTTTATACCACTTTGGCCTTCCAGACCAAGGGAGGATGTACAGAGGGGAGCTTAGGTTCCAATAATGTCCGTAGCCCACAGTGCTACCGTTCAGGAATTCCATTCCCCCAGGACTATGTGAAACACTTACCATATCATCATAATCGCTCTCTGGAAAATGATCTCTGCTTCTGGAACGCATCTCATAGGGGTTGTTGGGTTGATATCCTGGGTTTGCATGGCCAGAGGTGGTCTGGACCCTGGGGAACATGCTTGGTCTGTCATCAGTGTACATGTCAGAATACCCTGACTGGATCAGGCTCCTCTTCTCTGGACTTTGTTTGTGCCTTGCTCTTTAGAGGAGATGAAAGAACAAAGGAGATTTTAAAAGACTGTTTAGTGTGCCTTACTTTTTAAGTCCAACTTAGAGATTTGTCCACTCCCACCTTGTTTTGAATGCTCAGCTCCATTCTGAAGTATGCAACAGATTTTTACAGCATAGAGTTTTTTTAGCTAGTGCAAAATCCTTATTTTGAACACACAGCAAAGCAGTTTCTATTCAACTGTAAGAAATATTCTTACCTGACTGAAATAACAGAGACTGCTATCACTAAACACAGGATAATGGCTCCAAACACTGTGCCCACTATTATAAGGATGAGTTCACTGTCTGGGGGGAAAAAAGCAAAAAAGAAATGTGTCAACTGATAACTCACAGTGAATATTGAAAAACGAGGGAAGGGGAAGGGATTTATTTTCAGGCTCCTGGTGCTTACAACATTTTGTGGACACAGAAAGATGTAAATTAAGGATCTGCATTAAAGACCATCTCTGATGGATGGATGTTTTGACTCCAGCTCTGGGTCCTAATACTGTGCACTGAATGGTTTTACACATAGCTATAGGTGAGGGACAGGAACAACTGGGAGGGTGTAGGGGTTGTTTAAGCTAGTATTGACACTAAACTATGTAGTTAGGTGTCAAATAGGCTCTTCCCATGCCCTAGGCACATAAGACAACAGAGAAATTTCACTTTCTTTTCCCCTAACATAGTCCTCCTATAATGAAGAATGGTGGCACCCCTAAAGGCCACCACTTTTTTGTTATCTCAGACAGATTAAGCATTACTAGGTATTTTTCTGATTAAAAATCAGAAATTCTTGTACTTACTGTCAGTGCATTCCTCCCCGGAGAAGCCCACTGTACAACTACAGAAGAGAAAAAGGGGAAGGATAGACAGAAAGAAAAAATTATCTTTAGAGTCCCATTTAATCCAAACCATTCTATGATCACAAAACAATAATATATTTCACCCCTTTATCAGCAATTTCTCCACAAAGTGTGTTCCTTACAGGTTTCCTCTTTACCCTATCTTACTGTTACTTTCATTAAAGTGAAACAATCTGAGATTTTTCAGAGTGATTGGTGATCTTGGCACTTAACGTTTCAGGATCTCAGTCTGAAAAATGTTAAAAGGACCTAATTTTTCTAAAGAACTAAACTCTGCATCTTTGAGCCACTTAGAATTGCCATGCAATGTCTTTAACAAAAGCCTCAGTATAAGGTCTATAAGGACAGGTAACTCTACCTTCCTCTCATAGTAGTTTCTTATATTTAAAATATATCAACTTTATGGTAAGAAATGTTTCATTTGCAGCAATAATAACTACAAAAAGAGTTGAATTCATGGGTATGGGAGTGAGTCTCCCTGTTTATCCACCAGAGCGGAGCACAACCAGTCACTCACTTGGCCTCACCAGCAAACACCCGTGTTCTGTTCTGATCCTGAGCTGACAGAAATAATTTCAGAGAGGAAACCAAGCAGGAATTAAGGTCTGAAAGTTATTGGGAAACAGTCCCCACTGATAGCAGTGCAAACATTGCAGGGACTGGAGGCACATCTTGCTCTTATGCCTGTTGCTTACTAAACACTTCAGCAGAGCAGCTTGCATGCTCAGCCACGCTGCCAGAGCAGTTTGTGTTGACGTGGTGAAGGACTTTGTCCTCACTGACTCAGGGGTGACCTTGGACCTCCTGCCTCTCCTCCCAGGTGTTATGAGTGCACACAAAGGACTAATGCCAAGGAGTGAAAATGCCCCAACTTGTGACACCACGGCTTGTGACACCCCCTGCCTTCCCCCTGGGCAGCTCTCTGATTCCCGTAGCTGCAGCCTGCTCTGGCCTGCAGCTGGCCCTGTGGCAGATGCTCTCCTCCCCTACCCTCACCTACAGCACAGGAATGCAATAAAAAGCTGAATACTCACGCCACACATTCTTCATCCTTGCTTTTGAAGTTAATCATACATTTGCATATTGGACCATCTTCTTCTTGTACACAGTACTTGTTTATTGCTGCAGAGCAGTTTGCACTGCAAACTGTATTTTCAGGGAGAAAAACATAAGTGAATTGCAGGTAGAAGATTGTTTTATTGCTCTAAACACACACCCACCCCTCTCCTGTGCTTTAAAGAATCCAAATGGCTTTTTTAGGACTATACCCATGTAAAGCAAAAACTGGAATGTAAAATCACAAAATTAAAAGTAAACAGGCTGTGTTCAAAACCATCCAACTTCATCAAAAAGGAAATCTGGCTAGGCTGCATCTTGCATAGGCAAGCAATGGCCTGAAGTTTGATCTCACAGCAGATGATTTGTATGGCAAACTGTATCAGTTCCAGTCAGGCATGGGACCACAAAGGCCTACACTGGATCACATCTCACTGGGACTTACTGTAGCCAGCTTTCATAGCTTTATCTTGGACTTTTGAATTATTTTTTTATTTTTCTTAAAATCTTACATGTTAGACTTTTTTTTTTTTTAAATTTTTTTTTTTTAACTTCTGTAGTGTAAAAGTTTTAGTTTCCATAGGAAGAAAAGAAGGTGTTTCTAAGAAAATTAGCTACATCCCAGGGCTTTGAAGGGTAGCTAAAATATAAACAGAGCACTCACTTAAAGACTCAAAACAAGAAAGTAAATAAAACCGTAACAACTAACAGTTTCTAAAAATGACAGAAATCATTCTTCTCACAAATGCCTGTCTAAATCCGGGTAATGCAAATCTAGAATTATGAACAAGAGACAGAGCCTTAACAGGTTATTGTAGTGCATCATGAGACTTCCAGTTCTGTCAGCTTTCTTCAAGTAACCTGTAGAATTTATTCCCAAAATATGTCCTAGCAGAGAAGGCTGTGAGTATAGGATTCAATTTGTTCCATCCTTTACCTGCTTAGGTTTCAGTTCTTAGCAGGACTCTTAACAGTGCATTTAAGGACTTGCCTACTCACTGGTTTCAGTGATGATTTTATCAAGTTTTAATAATTTATTCTGCTGGAATAAAATTTTGGATTTGTTCGAAGTGAAATGTGAGGATGTGTTTTTATGGCTTTCTTAACAGGATGCACATTTCCTGATTTTTAGAGGTCAGCACATTTGCCCAGCACCTTTGTCAAAGAGGGACCAAGACAGGGAAGAAGCAGATCAGTCTTTCAAGGATAGAGAAAGCAACAAGGCTCTTACCTGGACAAGAATAATCACTCCATTTTGTCTTTTCTAAACCAAATTTGCATTTGCATTCTGGAAACCGTTTCTCTTCACACTCTGTGGTTTTAGGATCACATTCATAAAAGGCACAATGTTTTGCCTCTTTAAAAGAGAAACAGGGAGCAAAGTTAAATACCCTTTCATAGAAAGCAGTGCACTTGCCCAGTAAATGATAAACCAATTATTTAATAATTCTAAATAGAAAAAAATTATAACTCCTTTTCTTGGGACATCAATATTTCAGACTGTCAGACCAGCCCTTTTTCCCTCCTTGCTCTTAATAGTTGTGGTCCTGTTTCCATCACATCTTCTGACCTTTTGTTTCTCAGCCTCCTTCAACTATCTCCAAACCTTCCTGGCTCCAGTCCATGAAAAGAGACATTCTTCCTGTAAGTTCATATTCTGAAAACTCACTTTTGGACTCACTTAAAAAAAACCCAAAACAATAAAAAACAAAAAACCCTACAGAGAAAAATCATAACTGTTCTCCTAGTTTTTTCCCAGCTGAGCTGTGAGACCCAGATTCCATACAGTTCTAGACAGATATAATGTGACTGCACTGGTGCCTTGGGAGCTCCCAGTGGTTTTCTATTTCCTTCTCACAGCTGAGGATACAGTCACCTTCACACAACAAACTCAGGCTTTAAGCCATGAAATGTACTCTTTATTATTAGCTATGCCTTTTTAAAAAGCTGATTTCAAAACAGGAACTAATATTAAAAGAAAAAAGAAAAAACATCCTTATTTTAATTTCAAACTCTCTCTCCCAGTATTACACCTTTAATAATGCAAGACTACTGGTTTAGATCAGCAAATGCCTTAGCTCATTAGCTAATCAGTGAGGCCTTATTTCAATTACCATGGCTTATTATGGGAGAAGTCTAAAGAGAGTTTCATCCTATTTTGCCAGTAAAATACTTACTTATTCTCTGACGCATAATATATATCTGTATATATTTTATCCTGATTTTTCCCACTTCTTAACACTCAGCAGGTTAAAACCACCATGACATTGCTTACCAGGGAAAAATATTTACCTTTTCTTCTTTACACAGGGAGTAGGAAGCCTTAATAAGACAAAAGAGACTAGCACTGAATTGTTGACTCATCGAAATTACCCGAGATTGAACATTCAGCTCCTTAAAATCAACAAGGCTTATGATTTGATGGGCTCCTATGCCCACAGAAATCTTCCAACCAGGTTTTAACAGTCTCTGTTTCTGCTGATTAGCTGCTTCCCTAGCAAGGAGTTACATACCCTGAGAAGACGTGACAAAGGACTGGTTATTGATTGCAGCTGCTATTGCATTGCTAACTGTAGTTTCATTTCGATCTGATTTGTCTGTGAACAGGTTTGCCACTGTTACATTCAGTCCTGGACCAGAATTTCTGCTTTCACTCTGGTTTAGAGGTCTGAAAGGGACAGACAGTACCATTTTAAAGTCTCACATAATCCATATAGCAAGCTAGCAAAGCTACCTAGATGCAAGCTAGACGCAAAGATGAGAGAAAATCTACCAAATCTCCCTCCCTCCCCCCATAAAGTAGGTAGTTGCCAAGAGACCTGAAAATGAGTGTAAGCCTTGCTCAGGAATACATTAACAGCCATCTTTCCAGTAGGTCCAGGTGTAAATAGGTAGCTGCTGTATTTAATGATAACAGCACTGCTCCTTTGTGTGCTTTTGATACAGAACTAGCCTTTTCTAGCTGGGTTAACCTCAAACCACCTGCAATGTGGAGAACCTCATCTCTTAGACCCTAACTTCCATCAGCCTGTGGGTTTATCCAGGCGTGACGTGGAGAACCCACCCTGAAGGGTGGTGAGGATAATTCAGGGTGTGACCACCATGAATGCAGACAGGGCTGTTTGCCATGTAGAGGTATCTGTGCAGGCCACACACGACCTGGGTTGGGTTCAGCTCACAGCAACCTCCCTGGTGTGAGGTGGAGAGCAGCAGTGACTTCCCTGTTCTTCAGCTAAACCTCCTGCTGCCAGGATATGCACACAAATATGCTGCAGTGGCAGATTGCTGCATTCCTTGAGGTGTTACTGTGCCCCACGTCACAGCTGCTCTGCTGGAAGTTACTGCCCCCACAGCTCTGTTAGGACAACATTCTGCTTAGCTGCTTAATCCCTGGGGTGCCCTGAAAGGGTTGACATTGTGTGCTAGCATGCCAGGTTTTGCTTCATAGGGGTTAGGAAACACAGAGGAGCTGGCAGAGCTCTGGGGTCAGTAACCTGTAACAGATGGGGATGGGAAAAAAGAGACATCTCACAGGGGCTACCTAGACCAGCAAGAGACCTATGCCCACAGCTACACCACAACCCATTCAGCAGCATCTTTTCTCAACCTGCCATCAGGAGACACCAACAAATGCACAATAAAATACATTTGTTATGCCTTCTGTAACGAGGGTTTTTAAATTATGCTGGGACTCCAAGCTGGGTGGCACTCCCAATGGTCACAGGAACTCAGAGTTAACTGTTAGAATTTCAGACATGTCAGATATCACAGGACTGCTAGCTACAGCACAGTGCTGCATCCTACATGGTGCTAGCAGCAGGACATACAGAGTGGGGCTGCCTCAGCCTGCCCATTTCACAGAAACACTGGGATAAAAATGGGGCCAGCATCCCTCCTTTATGGGGAAGCATTCTGAGCTGAACTAATCCCATTTTTTTATTGAATTGAGAACTTCACAGGAAACAGATTAAAATGAGGTATGTGGAAGTATGTAGTATGCAAAAAAAAAACCAGCAAACTTACTCAATTTTCTTGATGACAGTTTCTACATAGCCTGGTAGATCTTTGAAGGCCTCCTTAAACTATAAAAGAGAAAGAAATTGGAGTTCAAGGCAAGCAGACACATAGCCCAAAATCACATGAACCACTGAGGCTTCAGCAGTAAAGTTTTTATACAGAATATGCTACTATAGGCACAATGATATATGATGCTCTTCTGTAGCCATATCATGAAAAAATGCTGGACGAAAAATTGAGAAATTTTTTTAACATTCTGGAGGAACAACTTTTGGTCACTTTCTGAGACAACATTCATAGTAAGCAATATAATAATATGCAGAAATTGATAACCATTTTTGATCATTCCTGATTAACATTGTGAATATTTTTTAATCAGATGTCTGGTAGAGTTGCATATATATTTTTCCTTACTGCCAGACAGAGAAATAAGGAAGTCCACTTGTTTCAACATGGCAGTATAAATTAAACTGATCATCTTATTTCTCCAGGAAATCTATTACCAAATATTATGTATAATCATAGAATTATAAAAAAATGTGCAGTATCCATTTCACTAAAAACACTAAAATACTAATACTGGCAGACTTATGGAAGAGGGTTGTTATTTGGTATTTAGACACAGCTGGACAGCCATTTGGAAAAGTTTGTGCTGTGTGGAGCCAATAATTTTCTTTTAAAAAAAATTAAAGCTGTTCATTTTTACTCATACCACTGAGTATTATGGAGCCTTCAGCAAACAGCAGAGATCAGAAACTCAATAGGCTGGAAAACTTCACTCAGCCCCATTGTTTCTGGAGAAGGAATGGTCAAAGATGGAGAGCAATTTATATGAGAACTCCCCAGAACAGAAATGGGACTAAAAATGTGGATATTACTTCAGGGATTCCCTTCACTTCAGCAAGAGCCATGCACGTGCTCATCTGAGGGCAAAATTCAAGTCTTTCATAAATAGGTCTAAACTAATGTGAAGCATTCTTTGAAACAAGCAGATCTCTTGTAGAGAGGAGCTTTTCTAGGCCCCACATTAAAGAGAGTGTCCTCTCTGTCTGCATGACATCTAAAATAGCTTTAAATATATGGGAGGAAAAACCATTGTCACTCACAAATGCTGATACATTGTTGGACAGTTCTTGATACTCTGTGGAATTTACAATTTCAAGATTTTTGCTGTAAGGTGTGTTCACTAAAATGGAGACTGGGTATACGTCCCCTGGAATGAGAACAGAGAGTGTAAATTAGAAAGCATTCAGGAAAGCTCAGTTTCACCTTAGAGTTCTCCAGCTTTTAGGGATGGGGAAATACAATGCAGAAAATAAATCAGTGCTATTTTTCATATACAGCAGGGATTAGCAGAGGACAAATCAACTCAGTCACAATGGGGGATATACTTTGGCTGCCTGGGTAGAAGGCAGGATTCTGGGCCCAAACAATCTGTCCTGTATATGAAACTGAGTAACATTAAACTGTCAGCATGGCCTGAAGCTACAAGACTTTTTGCAAGGTGTTACAGAATTTGGTGAGAAAAAATGTGTATCAAGTACTCCAAATTTGCACCTATTAAGCAGCTAATGTGGTTCACTGTGGTTTACAGAGAAAGTAATTCAGAATCAACCTGCTTCTTAAGCCTCACAAGTAAATTTGAGAATCCTGCTTGCTGATCCTTAAATAAGAAGCCCTATTTTCCCACATGCTTGGCCTTCAGAAGCATTTCAGAGATGTATTTCCACAGAACTCTGATGAGTGTTTAGCAATGAGGAAAATCCATCCGGTTGTTCACAAGTTTGCTCTTTTTTAAATCATTGTCATTAATATCAATGCCAGGTTTACACTTGCATTTTTTTCCCTGCTTTTCACTCATTTCAATCTCCTGCACCCCTGACAGAGAATTCACCTTCTTTTCCTAGAACATTAACCTCCTTGGCTGTCACTGTTTTGCAAGATTGCAATCTAGGTCATTGTAGGAGTGGCTGCCTGCAAAGCAAGAAATCACTCAGCAGTCACTTTCCCAGACTGATTGTGTTTTCAATTATAACATGACAACAAAGCTATATGGAAAGCAAAATCCACCTGAGCAGGTAACTAAAAGCATTGATGCCCTCCTGCAACTCACCTTTCGAACACTCCTTATTGCTGTAGTAGTATCCATATTGGCACACACAGGTGTAATTGCTATGTAAGGAAACACACGTAGCTGAACTTGTTCCACAAGGATCTCCACGGCAGAAATCCGCTAATACCAAGATGAAACATATTGATATTAGGGTTTCAGTGAGTTTCTGCAATAGCTAGCTCAACATAAAGTCATTCATACATTGAGTAGTTCACATATACTTCTAGTAAGGGAATCTACCAGATATGTTTTAGAGAGTATAGATGCAATTGCAGAGCACACATCTGTATATCTGGCTTGTTTAATATATAGTAACTGCTTTCCCCACACAATCCAGCAGGATATCACCACGGAGTATGGCTGAAATTCATTATCTGTCATACTGAGCATTCAGAGTTCAACTCTACTTAACACAACTAAAACCAAATAAAGGAAAGAAGGGAGATCAAGGCTTGCCAAAAGCAGTGACTGTCAGAAAAATTCAGACTGCAATAGCCTGTGTATCTTTAATAGTGCACTGGAACATACTTGCCTTATAATGACATGTCATAGCACAGTCCTTTACTGCAGACACATCAATAAAATGAGAACTCCAAAGTGAATCATAATATATTTTCTCAGAGTAATTATATATATATTCTGTAAGGTTTTAAAGTATGCATTTTATATCTATATATAATTTAAGTGGTTAATAAGAAATTAAAATTTATATTTCTATACATCTTATATATAGGATGGCAATTACAGTTCTCTTTCAAGATATCAAATTCTGGTTTTCACCCTGCCTTGTTTTTTACACTTCACTCCATAAGTACAGTCTCATGGATGAGACATTTTCTGTGAAATGGGGAGAAAAAGAGGAATTCTCATTCATACCCCAAAAAATAAAAAATAAACACTCAATGAATTTTCATTTCCTAAAAGGTTCACTTCCAATTTTTTTTTCCAGAGAACCTAGTGAAATCAATTTTTTTTCCTGATGAAAAAGAGCCCAAGCACAAAGCTACAACAATTGTGAACTCCTCCAAACATACTCCACTTGCAGCAAGGCCCCTCAGGGAAGAGTGGCAGGGAGATACAGCATTGAATGAGGACTTTTGCCTACATTGGAAGGCCCTACTGGGACTGAAGAAGGTGGGGTATGGAGAGCTCCAGGACAGACAGATGCCCTGTCCCCCAGACATAGTTCCTGGCCCCAGCCCTATGCCAGGCTCTGCCCCAGCTCCCTCCCTGCCTGTGCTCCAGCAGCCTCAGGCACAGCTCCCTGCAGGGCCAGGTCACCTCTTTGCAGAGATTCTCTTGTATCCTTGCCTGCTGAAAGAGGCAAAGCCTACGAGCACGAAAAAAGCAACCTCCACCAATCTTCCCCAACACATTCTCCCTGCAGCAAAGGCCAGCAGGAAAAGAGGGAAGAGTGGAGGATATTCATGGCCACCATCTGGTCAGCTTTGTCTCTATTGGAAGAGGAATATGGGAAACCCAAGGGAGGGGAACTCCTTCCTGTCTGAGGAGCCTACAAAGCTCACAAGGATTTGGTTATTCCAAGCAGTCCCTAGAAAATGCATCATGAGCATATTTGCTATGTACATGTAGGTGCTGAGGTAGGCGTGTATGTTGTACCAGGATCTGTTCCATTTACAGTACTGTTATCTGAAGAAGGGAAGAGAAGAGACGTGGCAGCAGAGCCAAGCATTGTCTGTTCAAAAATCATCAAGCTGGGAGTGGAGGACGACAGGCATGGCCTGCTCCCTATGCCAGAGCCATGGCCCCTGGCCTATCCATTCTGGGCTGTGCCCCACAACCCTCCCTGCCCATGCTCCAACAGCCTCAGGAACAGTTGTTCTTGCACGGCCTTGGGCATCTCTTTGCAAGGATCACCTTGCACCTAGGCCTGGTGTGACAGGCAAAGGCACCAAGCATGGAACCAGCAACCTGCCCTAATCTTCCCCAACACTTTACAACAAAGACCAGCAGGAAAACATGGAAGAGTTGAAAACTTTTCAAGGTCATGGTCTGGGAAAATTTGTCTTCAATTGGAGAAGAATTCTGAGAAGCCCAGGCAGGGGAACTCCTCCCTGCTTCAGTATCTACAGTGCTCCATGGAATCTGCGTCCTGCAAGCTGTCCCCAGAAGGGGAAGCCTGAAAGCTTTTCTCCTTACCTGAAGATTCTGTTGGTGGCACCACTGGTGGCTCAGTAGCTGTCACATTATCAGTACTGTTTCCTGAAAAATGAAAGACAAGAGACATGGCAGCACTCCCTAGCATTGACTCTCCAAAAAGCCTTGATGAATTCTGTGGTCTTTCTCTCATAGTCCTTCTCTCACACCCTGCTCTTGGACGACTCCTTCCAACATCTGCACTCCCTCACAGTGGCATTGGGTACAGATCATGTGGCTGGAAGCCAGAGGCACAAAGTCTTTCCCAAAGATGGATGATCAGGATGGGGACGTGATGCTGCGAATGCTGAGCACATTCCTCCCCAGCATCAGGCTGGGAATCAAGGATGACAGGCACAATCTGCCCCGTGGTGCTCAGCCATGGCCCCTCTGATTTCTCCCTGCTGGGCTGTGCCCCACATCCCTCCCTGCCAAAGCTCCAACAGCCTCAGGAACAGCTCCCTGCAGGGCCTTGGGCACCCCTTTGCATGGAACCCATTGTACCCCACAATCCAAACACCATCACAGGAGACAAAGACTCCAAGCATGAAATCAGCAGCCTCCCCTAATCTTTGCCATCATATTTGCTTTACAAAAAACACCAGCAGAGAAAGATGGAAGAATGGAAGATTTTTCAAGATCATGGTCTAGGTTACTTGGTCTACAGTAGTAGTACAGCTCACAGAAACCCAGGCAGGGGAACACCTCCCTGCTTGTGTATCTGCAGTGCTCCCTGGAACCTGCAGGCTGTCCCCAGAAGGGGAAGCCTGAAAGCCTTTCTCCTTACCTGAAGGTTCTGTTGGTGGCACCTCTGGTGCCTCAGTAGCTGTCACATTATCAGTATTGTTTCCTGAAAAATGAAAGACAAGAGACATGGCAGCACTGCCAAGCATTGACGGCTCAAAAGGCCTTGGGGAATTGTGTTTCTCTCTCATAGTCCTTCTCTCACACCCTACTCTTGGAGTCCTCCTTACCAGCAGCAGTTTCGTACCCTCCCTGCCTTTCCCCTCCACGTGACAAATGCTGAGTTGTAGGCTCCTTGCAGTAGCACTGGCTCTCAGAGCAGGCTCTGAGGCATCCCAGGCACAAGCACACAGCCTCTGCACTCAGCGCTACCAGACCACCCTTTAAAACTTCATATGTTCTCTTCCAGAGCAGTGGAAGGATGACTGTCTTTGCTAACACACACTCCTG